ATATATATATATATATATATATATATATATATATAGAAGATTTAAAATTAAATAATAACAATACGATTCAAAAATGTGAATTCAAAACGCAGACTCATAATAAATAACACACCTAATTCAATACATGTTATCCCCAGTGACCAGACATCTGCCGAAGTATCATAATGACCTTCATCCATTGCTAGAATAACTTCAGGTGCCATCCAGTAAGGAGTTCCAACAAAGCTTTGCGCAGGTGAAACAATAGAAGCACTTCCAAAGTCAGCTAAATGACGAGTCTGAACCAAAATAATGCGCAAAAATCAAGTTAAAATTTTGTACATAAAACAAAAACTCGTCTCTTATAAGGCTACTACAAGTGGTTGTATCAACACTCTTATCACCATACTTCTGAATGAAACAAACCTAATTTCACAACCCCAGTGTCTGTTAACAATATATTTCCAGCTTTCACATCTCTATGAATTCGGCCTATGTTATGAAGATATTCTAAGCCGCATAGCGTCTGATCGATTATTGCAGCTATTTCAGCCTCTCGTAAAGGTCGCCTGTGCACTTCAACAATATCAGCCGCAGAACCAATACAATACTCCATGACCAGCTGTAAATACTTTTTATGCTTTGTCGGAATTTGAAATGCAAGAACAAAGAAAAAATGTGTCTATATGTACCTAGACTATAAAAATATAACAGAAACTTCAAAAAATTGGAAGCCGTTAAGGAACATGCAGTTTTCAGTTAGTAAACATAAAAAACAAACAAATTACAAGAAAAGCCGACCCAACAAGTATGTTCTTTCAAGTAACATGTGCGATAATCTACGATGTTTCGGTGTGATACATTTTTCAGAAAAGTTACTTCCTTAACAATATCGCTCCACTTTTCAGCTGCTTGCTTTCCGCTGAAAGCCATTTTTTTGATTGCCACCGTCTCATTCGTCTCCTTGTCTTGCGCCTAAAAATAATTTATATTTGTGAACTCTTAATAACATTCCCCAAATCAAAATATGTAGGACTGTAGATATAGTGAAACTTTTCTGTCATCATAAATTTTCGGAAATAAAAACAACAAATATAATATTTCAACTGCTCCAAGCACGAAAATTTATCAAAGTTACTAAGAGAAAATAAAATCAAAGTCTTTTATCAATTTAGAAGCAGTTGGGGAAAAAAACGTAGTTTTGGAATGTAAGGAAAGTGACTTACAAAGAAGACAGCCCCAAATGACCCATGACCAATTTCACGTAAATCCTCGAATCTCTGCTCAGGATCCTTGGTCGAAAACAGTGCAGATAAGGCTGGATCCTTGAGACTACCCGGTTTACCCGGCAATACAGTCGGCATTACAAATCAAAGCATCACATGTGAAAACAAGCACCACTGCACAAGACAAGTGTAGTAAATTCCAGCCGAAGATGACCCGTTTGTATTAATGAGGAATCAATAACTCCTA